GGTAGGGGCCAAAGAGAAGTTGTTCAGTGGGTGTAGAGTTTCAGTTCTGGAGATCTGTTTCACAACAGTGTAAATATACTTAATACTAGAACTGTATATTTAAAATGGTTAAGATGGCAAATTTTATATGTGTTTTTTATACCAAAATTTAAAAAAAATAGCTGTCAGTCCACAAAAAGATATGGAAGACCTATAAATGCATATTACTAAGTGAAAGAAGCCCATCTGGAAAGGCTACATATTCTTTGATTCCAACTATGACACTTGACATCCAGGAGAAGGCAAATCTTACAGAGACAACAAAAAGATCAGTGGTTGCCAGGGGTTTGGGAAGAGGAAGGCAGGGATGAACGGGTGAAGCACAGGGCACTTTTTTTTAGGGCAGTGAAACTATCCTGTGTGAAGCTGTAATGATGGATACATGATGTCATGCATTTGTGGGAACCCACAGAAAGCACATCAAGAGTGAACCCTGGGGACTTCCCTGGCGGTCCAGTGGCTTAAGACTCCACGCTCCCAATGCAGGGGGCCCAGGTTCGATCCCTCGTTGGGGAACTAGATCCCACATGCTGCAACTAAGAGTTCGCATGCCACAACTAAAGATCCTGCATGTTGCAACAAAGATCCCGCAAGCGGCAGCAAAGATCCCACGTGCAGCAACCAAGACCCAGCACAGCCAAATAAATAAATAAATTTTTTTTTTTAAAAAAAGAAAGACCGGGCTTCCCTGGTGGCGCAGTGGTTGAGAGTCCGCCTGCCGATGCAGGGGACATGGGTTTGTGCCCCGGTCCGGGAGGATCCCACATGCCGCGGAGCGGCTTGGCCCGTGTGCCATGGCCACCGGGCCTGCGCGTCCGGAGCCTGTGCTCCACAACGGGAGAGGCCACGGCAGTGAGAGGCCCGCACACCGTAAAAAAAAAAAAAAAAAGAAAGACCAAGTTTGTTTAAAAAAAAAAAAAACATGGAAGAGTGAACCCTAATGTAGATTGTGGGCTTTAGTTACTGTAGCAACATTGGTTTAACTATAACAAACGCACCTCACCAATGCAAGGTGGAGTAGTGAGGGGAATATGGGGACTCCTGGCCCTGTCTGCCTGGCCCTGCCTAGGTGCTTGGGATTCAGACAGAGCAGACAGTCTCTGCTGAGTGCTGGTGTCTGCAACCCAGAGGTGGTCACAGGTAACTCTGGGGAGGAACCTGGACCTGACTTGAGCCCAGAGGACAAGTGGAGCTTGTACTGGGAAGGGAAAGGCATTCGAGGGAGGAGGAGAACGAGCAAAGATGTGGAGACAGGAGCTCGCTGGCATGAGACGTGGAGGGAAGACGAGGTCATACAGGGAGAATGAATGGCAGGAGTGGGGGGCAGCAGGCAAGCACACAGCTGGACAAGGGAGGGGTCAGCCTGCAGAGGCCTTGAAAGCCAGGCCTCCCTTCACGGGCCTTCACGGGCAGGGTCCCAGGGTTCTCCTTCCAGCTGCAGTTTACTGAGCACTTGCTACGTGTCAGGTGGGCACCAGGCACAGTCCAGTGGTTAGTTCTGAGGCACCGTCCACTCCACAGCCTCGGTCGGGAGGAGGCTGCTTAGAGACAGACAGCGATCAGACAGACAAGGACAGTGAGGGACACAGGATGGAGACAGGCAGAAAGAACAGTGAGAGACAGAGAGAGGATGGGGAAAGATAGAGGGTCAGAGAAGAACAGAGACACAGAAAGAGAGAAAGACAGAGAACAGAGACAACTATAGACACAGAAAAGACAGCAAGGGACAGTGAAAGAACCAGAGATTGAGAACAGAGACAGGGCAGCACGGGACAGACAGAGGATGGGTCAAGCAGTGAGCGACATTGAATCTCGACAGATGACAGGCAAGAGGGAAGGCCTCCTGGCAGCAAGGGCCACTCCCACCCCTGTGGAGACCAGACAGGCAGGGTTAGGACGCCAAATCCACCACTGATGTGCTCTGTGACCTGGGCAAACCCCAGAGCCCAGGGTGGGGTGAGGGTGATGGCAGCACCTCTCACAGGTCGGAGGCACAGTCTTGGGACCTGGGCACCTCCCTAAAGGCAGCTGGGCCATCGAGCGCAGAATTCCAACAGGAGGTCCAGACCAGGCTTCAGACTGGGCACTGGGGGCTGGACTGGCGCTGGTGGGGCCTGCAGGGCCCGGAAGCAGGGGTGGCACTGGGCTGCTGAGGCGCTGGGCTCACAGGCCCACTCCCGGTGGAGTGGGAGCCCAGCTGGCCAAGCCCAGCCATCTGTGGGGCCAGCGTGCCCCCTAGCGGCCACCTGCTCCTCCCCTCAGCCGCAGGAGCTGGGAGGGGAGCCAGAACGGGCTTCACTGGGCTGAGCCAGCCCCTCGCCCTGCAGGGGAATCAGGAAGCCTGCAGGTAGAACTGTTCCAAGGCAGGACAGGAGTCATAACCAGGTAGCCAGGGAGGTTTTCCCCGTGGGGTTGGCGGGGAGCACAGTGTGGAGACCAGGGAGGCCCTGATGAGAAGAATGTTGCCGACCACTGGTCAAGAGGGGCTCAGGTTCCCTCCTGATGAGGGTGGGCCCCTCACGGGCTCCTCCGGCACTCTCAGAACAAACCCATGGGCACCTCCACCTGGACTGCGGTCACAGGGGCAGCCCCCCTCCTGCACCACTCCCCAAGGGCTTGCGGTTTTTGACTAACCCGTTCAGGATCCTGAGGCTCCCTTTACAGCAAAGGAAGGGGCAGTGTACACAGGACTGTGGTGATACCCGGCACTCACTGACACATGACACCCTTCGAGGACAGCGTCCTCCCCCAGGATGCCGCACCCACATCAACAGTATCGCGAGGCCCTGTGTCCCCACAGGTAACCAGGTCTAGGAACTGGGGTGGGAGCTGGGGGGCCTCCCCTGGGCACCACTCCAGGCAACCCACTTGGGAAATCTATGCTTCTCGTCCCTGCGCCTTTGGGCTCTGGGCGGAGAAGGCACAGAGGTCCACCAGACTCAGAGATGGCCTGCTCCACTAATCCCTCCCCACAAGACACCAGCAGGTGAGGAGTTGAGTCGCCGTCCCAGGACACAATGGGGACAGGGTGCTCTGTGACTGGGTAGCTCTTCCTTCTCCACCCGCCCCGCTCTGGGCCCAATCTTGATGGTAAATGGGGCTCAGACCCCTGGGGACGTGGGGCTGGACCCCCACAACAGAGACGCCCCCTGTAACCAGCAGGGGGGCAGTCCAGAGTTCAGGAGCCCAGCCTGGGTGGTGGGGAGGAAGAGGATGAGACCAGCGGCCCAGGGTTCCTCTCGCAAGGTTGCAGCCAGATCCTGGGAAAGCTGTCCCCAGGGATGGCACCCTGGGGACTGCCGTGGCTGCAGGGTTTGTGGTGAGGCCCTCCGTCCCTGGGTGCTGAGGGCTCGCAGCTGTCACCCCTCCTGGCACTGCTGCCCACAGCCATGCGCATGTCCAGTGACTGGTCAGCATGGGGACAGGGCCCAGCCCCCTTGCCTCAACAGGGACAGCTCCCGCATAGTTCCACAAGGCATCTGCAAGCAGTCCCTGGACCCAACGCCCTCGGCCCCCTCCTAGGTACCCACAGCCCCATGCTCTGCCAGGCCTTCCCCCAGGGAGTCACTTCTCCCTGCGCTGGCCCCCCTCCTGAAGGCTGATATGCTCCTTGCCATCACCCCACCCCCACACCGTGTCCTCCACCACAGTGACTGCTGCCCTCAGAACAAAGCCCTCGAGTGGCCTCAGGCTCGGCCTCAGTTGGCCCTACCCTGCCCCCGGCCACACCCCTCAGCTGGCTGCCTCTGAACACAGCAGGACCCCTGGGAGACAGGACCCCCCGGGAGAGTGCCTGCCTCCTAATCGATCCCTCCGCAGCCTCGTCAAAGCCAGACTCAACCACACTGGGGGTTCCGACCACTCTGGGGGGTCCGGTTCATATCAGGCCCAGCTGGGCCGGGAGCTCTGGGGAGCACCGGCACCTCTGGCTGCTCCACAGGAAACGACCCACGTCCAGCCCCCAGACACCTGCTCCCTAGACACCCTTCCTGGGGCTGGGCTGGGGGCCTGGAGCCGAGTGGACGCAGGGCGGAGGCCACAGGCTAGAATGGCCTCATGGGTTGCAGCTCTCGAGTGAAGGGCCGTCCAGGCCACAGTACCTGCGGGCAGGGTGGGGTGCTGGCGGGCGGCCCGGGCAAGCTCTACAGAAGCTGCCTTCCTCCCCATCCAGGGCCGTGGCCCAGGCAGGCTGATGTGTGGGCCATTGCTGAGGCCAGTCCCTGCTCAGAACATCACCTGTCTGCACAGGACTGCTCCATCACCATGGAAACCAAGGCCCCTTCCTGCTGCCCTTCTGTCAAGCTGCCCGCGGCCACACGCTGCAGCTCTGACCACCTCAGGCACCCACTGGAACTGTGAGGAGGAGGAAGAGCAGGGCCCTCCCTCAGGGGCTGGGGCTTTCCGCACACTTCCTCGCGGACTCACATGTGGGATGGGCAGCCCTGCTCTGTTCAACCTCCAGGCTCAGAGGGCTGACTGCACACCCACGGACACATGTCTCCCCGCAAAGCCCAAGCTGGAGCCCAAGGCATTCACAGAACAGCCCCAGGGCCGCCTCCTCTGGAAAGCCGCTGGCTAAAATGTATCAACCACCTTAAGAATCTTCACAGCCTGCAGTCAGCAACACCCCTCATAGGAATCTAGGTGGGGGTGGGCAAGCTCTAAGGCCCACAGGCCACATCCAGCCTGAGACCTGGCTCTACCAATGCAGTTTTACTGGGACACAGCTACGCTCCTCATGTATGCACTGCCCATGGCTGCTGCTCTGCTACAAGGTGCACTGACAGAGACAGCCTGGCCTGCAAAACCCAAAGCATCTACTATCTGGCCCTTCACAGAAAAAGTTTGCCCCTACTCTAGGCTAAGAAACTCACAGAGAAGGCAGAGAAAAACCCTATATACAGATAATTCAAACGTTACAGCTTATAACAGTGACATAAACTGGAAGTAATCCACGCTTCTGAGAGTAGGAGCTCCACTGAGAAAACTGTGAATCTATATGATTAAATATTTCCCATGACATTTATTAAATTTTTGATGAATTAGAGAAAATGTTTATTATGTGGAACAAAAAACTAACATTGAGAGTATGATTCCTACACGTATAGAAAAAGCATAGAGAGAAAGATGTCAAAATGGTGACAGGCCCTGTCCCTGGGTGGAAGGGTTACAGGTGACTTTTTTTTTTTTTTTTTTTGCTTCTTTACTTTTTCACTGCTCTCCAAAATTTGTAAAACAAGCATAAACTACTATGCTTGGGTGATCAAAACACCTCCCATGACAATTCCCTTCCAGCTTCCTCCTCGCTCCCATCCTGTCTCATTCTGTCCCCCCCACCTCTCTCTCTCTCACACACACACACACACACACACACACACACACACACACACACACACACACGCTGTGGAGGCAGCACAGAGGGGGTTTCTCAGTGGAGGGGGAGGTCACAGCCCAAACACAGGACTCTGTCCAGGCTGGTCCCTCTGCCTGGGACACCTGTCCCCTCCTCAGTAAGGGTAGCCCTGACCTCACTGTCCCTGGGAAGCTGTGTCACCATCGTTTTGCCCGAGCAAGGGAACCATGTGACTGCCTTGCCCTCGAGCACGGCTCCTTAGGGATCTAAGGGGACAGTAGCCCCGTCTGATTTACCTCTCGACCCCCAGAGCTCAGGCCAATGTCTGGAGCCTAATGTTTAATAAACCAAACAGGGGGGAAAAGTGGATGAAGACCAGGAAATGGGGCTTCCAAGAAGGCAGGGAGAAGAGAAAGTGGGAAATAGGATCCTCCCATGTATGCAGGCCCCACATTTTCTCTTCAGTGGCATCCTCAACCCCACCCCAGCCAGCTCTGGTCCCCACCCCCCGAGCCACGCTTCCTGGAAGAGCCCTTGCAGGCTCCTTCCTCGCCTCCCACCTTCTTTCACGTGTAGCTTCAGGCAGCAGACACCCTGCAAGCTCCTGAAGGTCTCACGACCCAAATCCACAGGTATGTGTCAGCCACGTCTTCTCAGACCCTTCCCGTGTTCCCTGGACGCCCTCTAGCCTAGTTCTCAGGGCTTCCTTCCTCCCACCAGGTGCTCCCCCGTCTCCTCGCAGGTTCTGGTCCTTCCTCAGGCTCCCTCTGCCTCTGCTCTCAATCCTTCTCTCCCACTCAGGGCACTCTCATCCCTCTGCAGGTGCCACATAAACACAGATGCCACCCAGGCCTCCCCCTTCCGCTCAGACCACTGCCCAGAGCCAAGTGCACGGACTCAACTGACACCTCCGCCCAGACCTCCCCGGCACCTCCAACCTGCGGAGTGCCCAGTCTTGGTGGCAGGCCTCCTCCAGCCTGGAGCCCAGGAGCCGGCCTCGGGCCCCCCCACCCCTCACACACAGCCCACCACCAACCCTACAGCTCTCTCCTCCCCAGCTCCCTCGTCCCCGCCTGCAATTCTCTGTCCACACTGCAGGAGGGGAGCCTCAAAATGCAGATCTGCTCGCCTCACACCTCAGCCACCCACCTCTGGTTTTAAAAACACTCCAGTGCTTTCCTGTTGCTTCTGTAGTAACAAGCACGACCCTGTGTACGCAGCTCTGCTCTCTGCCCCCAGCACGCTCCCCCTGCCCTGCACCATGAACCCTTCCCTCACAGCCCTTGCCAGAGGCCAAGCCTCCCCTGGCCTCTCCAACCACTCAAAGCACCTCATGTCCCTCTTTCACAGCCTGGGTCACAATTATCCTTTTATCTGTACGATCCCTGGACCCACATAGGCCACCCCCACTAGCACAGGACTCAGTGGGCACAGGACCTGGCATCACTGAGGACCCTGAGGCCTTCTGACTGGCCGGAGGGCCAGCACAGTGCCCAGCTTGTGGACGCTGCCTAACACGACCCTCACGGAGAGGCAGGCAGTTTGGACAAAGCAGCCAGGCAGCCAGGTGAGGCTGGCTGAGAGTGGTGTTGGGAGCCCCAGAGGTCCAGTGTGGGTCTTTCTTGAGTGGGGTGGGGGCTTCAAGAGACAGGTATGAGCCAGAGGCATGAGGACAAGGAAGGTGAACATCTATCCTGGCCTCAGTTTGCTGCTGCCCCACAAGTACTGCCGAGTCTGACAGGTACAGCCCAGGACACGGGCTCTGCGACACAACAGCCCTGGCAGAGCTGCGCATGCCTCAGGCCCCCCACAGGCACTTACTCAAGTCTCACCGCCCACCCTTACCTTACATGTTGTGCCCACCAGGGCTCCGTCCCGGCTCCAGGTGGCACCCTGCACCAGGTCCCCGTGGGCCGCCAGCTCTGCAGAGAAGCGGCCAAGGTCAGGAGGGGTCCAGGGTCCCCCCAACCCTGTCCCATGCAATGAGGGCATCAGGGAAGCGGGCGCAGGCAGGCCTGGCTTGGGGGTAATTCCGGGAAAGGGGCAGCAGCAGCGAGGGTGCTTCAGGCAGAGGAGCAAGGGCAGCAGCTCCTCCCAGATTGGGGGGGGGATGCTTTTGTTGGGGGGGTGCTTCCTTCAGCCCTGCCCTCCTCAGGCCACGCTCCCACTCCCTTCCCAGGCTCCCTGCTCCTGGGCCACCCCACTCTGCTCAATCACCAACATCCCCCCAACCCCCACAGACCACGGACATGTCACACACACACCCGCCCTGGGCCCCTACTCGGGCCATCCCCATTCCCTCCCCCCACAGCGTGACAGTTTTAAAATGTGTCCACAAATTCTTTGACACTCCTCCTGTTATAGACCGAATTGTGTCCCCCACAAAAAGTTGCTGAAGTCCTAATCCTCAGCACCTATGAAGGTGACTTTATTTGGAAATAGGGTCTTTGCAGATGATCCACTGGGGAGACCTGAGATGATGATCAAGTTCAGCTGATATTGCTAGAATGGACCCTAATCCAGTATGAACGGTGTCCTTGTGAAAAGGGAAATCAGAGAGAAGATGCATACACAGAGAGAAGATGATGTGAACAGAGGGAAGACGGCCATCGACATGCCCCAAGAAACACCTGAAGCCACAGAAGCTGAGAAGGGGACCTGAACAGATTCTCCCTCACAGCTCAAAAGGAACCAACCCTGCCAACACTTTAATTTTGGACTTCTGGTCCCCAGAATTGTGAGACAATAAATTTGCTTGTGGTACTCCGTTACGACAGCCCTAGGAAACTAACATCTCCTTTCAAAATGTGGGGCCTGATTCCCTTCTTCTTGAGTGTGAGCAGGACTCAGAGACTCGCTTCTAACGAAGAGCATGTGCCTTCCAAAGCTGGGGCGTAAATGGCACCGTGGCCTCCTCCTTGATGCCTCTCTTGGACTGTCCACCAGGGGAAGCAGCTACCATGTACTGAGGGCACTCAAGCAGCCCACAGAGAGGCCCATGGGGGAGAACCGAGGCCTCCTTCCCACAGCCAGCACTGTGTGAGTGAACCACTTGGGAAGCGGATCCCTCCACCCCAGTCCAGCCTTCAGATTGACGGCAGCCCCAGCTGACAGCTCAACTCCAACCTCATGAGGAGCCCTGAGCCAGAGCCACCCAGCTAAGCTGCTCCCAAATCCCTGACATGCAGAAACTATGAGATGATAAACGTTACCAGCTGTTATAAGCCTCCAGGTTTCGGGGTAATTCTATTTGCAGCAATAGGAAACTACTATGACAAGGTCTACTCCCCCGAGGTTAATCCCAGCCCTGTCACCTGCTTGCACTGTGGCCTTGGCCAAGTTATTTAACCTCACCTCACCTGTAGCAGGGAACGGCAACACCCCCCACGTGAAGCCCTCAGCACAGCGCTGGGCACACGAGAAGGGCTTGAGAGATGCTAGTTACAGCTGGGGTGACTCTGATGACACACTGCCAGGTGGCCTGCACCAGGTTAGGGTGGTCTCCTCCACTGCACCAGCAGCACTTTGGGGGCAAGTGGCACGAGACGGCTCCTCAGTCAGGAGGGAGTCCCTCAGACACCCCGTTACACTGTCGGCCCTTGGTGCTAGCCCCAGAAGTGGGGGTATCACCATGGTGAGCCTGGCTTGGGGGTAATTCCGGGAAAGGGGCAGCAGCAGCGAGGGTGCTGCTCATAAGGTCATGAGGGTGGAGTCCCATGAAAGGTATTAGGCCTCTTATAAAAGAGGCCCCAGAGAGCTCCCTCACCCCTGCTGCCGCGTGAGGACACAGCCAGAGGACGGCCATCTGTGAATCAGGAAGCAGGTCCTCACCAGACACTGAATCTGTTGGTGCCTTGATCTTAGACTTCCAGCCTCCAGGACTGTGAGAAATAAATGCCTGTTGTTTATAACCCACCCAGTCTGTGGGATTTTGTTATAGCAGCCCAAATGGACCAGGACAATATACACTGGGAAAATAAGAGAAGCAGCACCAGGGGGAAGGGGATGTAGAAACAGCAAAATTCTCATCCCCTAGAGGAGAAATCAGTAGTTTGTTTTCAGAACTGAAATGTCACACAATTCAAGAAATAACAGTATAAGTAAGTTACTTAGACATATGGAGGAAAAAGCAGAAAAAACAGCTAAGTGAGATGAAAACACATGTCTATGGGATTTAGGGAGGGATGGGGTGTTTGTAACAAGCCTTGTAAAATTATATGTAATATATACACACACATATACAAACATACACATACACACACCCGTATATATATGTATATATATCACATACATGTGAAACTTTGTTACGTGTCTTAAAAGTCATGTTACCAAAATCATAAAGGAACAAAGTGCTGCCAGACGGGGCTGCCCAGGGAGGGACAGTGAGTGTGGCCCATACCTGTGAGGGGCTGCTGCTTGGCGGCATCCCAGACCTTCACGGTCTTGCCCGCCGCGCTCACCAGGACGCCATCTGCGGTGGGGTGGAACTGCAGCACCTCCACCTGGACGTCCTCAGGGCCCAGCACCAGTCCAGGCTCTGAGGGCAGTGCCCTGCCAGGGGCAGGCAGTCGCCAGAGTTTCATCTGCAGGAAAGAGCGAGTCCGTGAGCCCAGGACTGGGAGGGGCCTCGCTGCCTCCAGCCAGCCTTGCCCCGGCTGCCCCCTACCCCAGGGGAAGGGAGGGGACGGGCTCAGGGTCACAAGGTGTGGTTAGGGGCCGAGGGGAAGATGTGGGAGTGGGGAGAGCCAAGTGCACTGCTCCCCCAGCACCACAGGCCTGCTGTCCTCAGGCAGCCGAGCAGCAGAACGCAGGTCATGGCCACAGCTCAGGGTAAGCGCACGGGAGCACACGGGAGCTGGCGTGGGTTGAGGAACTTAGCAGGAGGGGCTGGACTGCAAACCAGCAGGGCCCTGGTGGCTCATAAGGCCTGGAATAGCTCTTCCAGCCGCTCCACTCACCGTCCTGTCGGCTGAGGCCGTGGCCAGGAGGAAGTCATCAAAGGGAGAGAAGTCCAAGTCCGTGACCAGGTCTGAGGGAGAGAAACAGCTGACACGGGCCAGACATGGGCCAGATGTGGGCCCGCCGGAATGTCCTGTTCCAGCCCACCGTGCCCTCTCCCAAGGCCGGAACCACGGCCCAGGGCCTCTGAGCTGACCCCTCTGCCTACATGGCAGCAGGCTGAAAGTCCTCGAGGGGAGGGCACCTCTAGAGACCACAGGCCTATGCTACAGGCCCCCGCCTGCAACACACATCCCCAAGAGTCCTGCATCCCAGGGTGGTCAAGGGCCCATCACTGGGAGGTTGGCAGGATAATAGGCAGGAAGCTCCTTGGATCACCAGGTACCTGCATTCGCCCAAAATCCAGAACCCAGCTCAGGTGAATGGATACAAGTGCCGGCCCCCACAGGATTCACATATAGGACAGACTGGAGGCCATCCAGCCCTAACAGACGCTTATCACATCCACAGGGAGACACACACTTCTCTGCAAATGCAGCAAGAGGCGGGCTGTGAACTCAGGGGGTCCCCAAGGTCAGGGGTCAGAGGAGGCTTCCTGCAGGGGGCACAGTGGGCCCTGGAGAATATGGAGGATGGCACAGGTTAGGACATCGGGTAGGCAGGGGGCTGGAGTGACATGCCTGACCTAGGAGTTCTCTGCCCCTTGACAAGCCAGGGCTGGCCCACCTACAGGAGTGAACCTGACCCAAGCCCAGGCAGCCAGCTTCTCTCTGCAGGGAGTTAAACCAGGAATGGGAAGCCTAGCGACAGGGTGCCTTAGGGACTGGCCTGGGTGGAGAGCAGCCAGCTGGGAGGGAGCTGTCAGCTCTCAAGCCAGGACCCTCCTAAGGCCTGTGCGTCCAGCTGCTCCTTCAGTTCTGGAAGCTCCCCAAGAGTCTCCCAAATCCCTTTCTGGCTTAAGCAAGCTGGAGTTAGTCTCAGTTCTTTGCAACCAAAGAACCTAAACTGCTCATCTCCGGGGAGTCGGGAGGGGAGGTGGGGCACAGAGTGAGGTGGGGCTCTGGAGTGAGCCAGAGCCCAGAGGGGAAGTGAGACTGGGGGTTTCAGGGGGACAGAGACAAGGCCAGGGCTCAGGTGTGGGGGCAGTGGAGATGTGAGCAGGACGGCCAGGCCCAAGTCACCAGAGCAAGGAGCACAGTGACCATCCCTACTGCCAGCCTCCCCAGGGGGGCCGAGCAGGTACACTTTCCTCCCAGGCCAGAGACTGACCCTGGGCATCCTGCCAGAGGAGACAAGGAAGAGAAGGGGTGGGGACTTCCCTGGTGGCGCAGTGGCTAAGAATCCACCTGCCAGTGCAGGGGACACAGGTTCAATCCCTGGTCTGGGAAGATCCCACATGCCGTGGAGCAACTAAGCCCATACGGCACAACTACTGAAGCCTGCGTGCCTAGAGCCCGTGCTCCGCAACAAGAGAAGCCCCCACTCACAACTAGAGAAAAGCCTGCGTGCAGCAATGAAGACCCAATGCAGCCAAAAAAAATAAATAAAATTTTAAAAACTTAAAAAAAAAAAAAAAAGGAAGAGAAGGGGCAGACGGGAAGAGGCACACCTTGGGACAGCCCTAACCCGGACTCCTGGCCACGGAAGCCCTACCACCCCACCCTGCGGGCTCCTCACGGAACAGGGCAGGGCCCAGGCTGGGTGCAGACGCTGGCACCCCCAAGGGAATGAGCAGTGGTGATGTGGCCGATCTGAGTGCTCAGTTGTGCCTGCAGGCTTGTGGCCTTCGTGTGTGTTTATCTCACCAAATCCTCACAACAACCCATCAGGATGGCACTGTGGTGTCATCCCCAACTGGAGGAAGAGGACACGAGGAC